CAGGGTCGCCACATCTTAAATCTTCTTTCAACTCTTATCGTTTGAGGACGTCCCCAGCTGGCACTGGCACCGGCAACGTCTAATCAGAACTCTAAATTTATTTAATGAAAGCGGAGAGACGAGCCAGGGCTTTACTTGAAGAATGCAACGCTCCCTAATGCTGATATTATATTGATTTTCTGCGTGTGTGTGTGTGTGTGTGCGTGTGTGTCCAGGCTCTGGAGCTGATTGGCCTGAAGCCCTCCGACGCTCAGCGGCAGACGCTCCGGTCCAGACTGCGAGCTGATCTGGTTGGGACGGTGGCCTTCACAGGTGAGACATCATCGCTCAGCTCACCTGTGGCTGTCCTCCTGCAGGTGTCCCTCATCCTCACACCTGTGCAGTACATCATGTACTTCTTTTATTTGTATTTAGCTCTTGTTTCTTTTCGTGGTTGAAGGTTTTAAGCGCAGCTCTGAGGTAAACCGATGTGCTGCTGTGTTTGGACCATGTTGGTCTCCAGCAGTCAGGTTTCCTGTTGTGTCCTTGTTGGATGTTTTTATCTGGAGTTCTGTTTCTCCTGCGTTCGCTTTACTCGCCTCCTTCCCTCCTTTGTGCCCTCGGCGGTTTCACCTGGGAAACTGGGACTCGATTCTTCTGACGTCGCAGTGACTCGAGCTTTGCACACTTTCTGCTCACTTAACTCAGAGCTTTTACTCTGCTTTGTGGGTTTTATTGCACTGTTTGAAAAAGTGAAGGAAAAGCAGAGAGCTTCAGTAGAAAGAATAAAATGTCTTTGTCTGCTGCTGGACATGTTGGAGCAGCTGTTTGAACTGAAGTTAAGCAGCCAGACTGAATTCTTCTGAGCCAGGTCGTCACCGTCACACACAGAGGGGATCCAGTAATCTCACTGTTCGTGGAATAAAAACAGTGTGGTCACATGACTGACTCAGAGATGACCCATATCGTGTTTTCATTGACTGTTTGCACAGTTTAAAGGGGGCTTGGTGATGTGGCGCGGCAGCGTTGAAGATGAAAGTCAAGTGCAGGACGCAGATCTGCAGGTTTGGTCGCTGCTTCGGCCTCAGAGAGGCTCGGGTTGGCGTTCTGCCTCCTGCTGAGCGCTCGTGTCTGTTTTCTGTTCCCAGACTTCGAGAGCCTGATCAAGGAGCTGTTCAAGCCTCAGCTGGAGGAGCTGGGCGTCACGCAGCCCGGGTCTCGCTTCACGTCCGATGACCTGTTCAGCTTGCTGGAGTCGCCCAGCGACCCGAGGGTAGGAGCGTGCAGCACACGTGTGATGTCACACAGTTACTGACCTTTATAAACAACTTTTAACTGTAATTTACTTTAAACTCACAGAAAAGATGCTGAGTGACTCCTGTATGTATGCACGTATATGCAGCCTTCAGGAAAAACACAGTACTAAATACACAGTTTTCAGTTTGCAGAGCAGACAGAGACATATTACAGTATGTTAAAGTATGTGGGGGGTGTGGGGGGGTCATCAATGTCAGTCAGTCCTACAGAGAGGGTGGAGTCACAGCAACAGAGCAGTGAACACCTGGAGAAGGTGTGGGTGGGAATGATGCTGCCTGTGCGGCGTCTCTAACGGGATCGATTCTGCTTGTTTATTTTTATCTTTTCATTTTATCGTTTCTTAGAATAAAAAGTGACCTTTAAGCTCCAGTTTTACTTTGCTGATTATAAACAAAATAAAAAACGTGGTGAGCAGTCGCTTTATTTATACGTCTGTTAGTGCAGTATGAGTGATGATGTCATCAGATGATGTCATTAAAAATGCTCCCAAAGTCTCCAACAGAACAAACACTGCTGTAAAGGTTTAATTCCTCATCATGCTTGGACATTGCTTGTGGTGTTCCACAAGGCTCTGTACTGGGTCCAAAATTATTTATTATTTATATAAATGATATTTGTAAGGCATCTGATATATTAAAATTAGTATTATTTGCAGATGACACAAATATTTTTTGTTCT